ATCTATCACGACTCAAACTAACCCCTGTCTTGATGGTGCCTATCGTGGAACTAGGCAAGCCGACTCATTTCCAAAACAAACTGATATTTTCATTCCAAAGATAATTTCAATGTTATTTAACATAAAAACCTTCGTAAAGGAGTTCCAATCAAAATAAAAGTGCGGAAGGAAAAGCCCGACATCGGGGTGTCACTAGTCATAAGCATCTACTACAATCTATCTAACAATGTCAAGGCTAACTCAGCCTGAAAAATAGCTAAATACAACTAGAGGAAGATAAGAGGGAGAAGAGTAGGGGCTGCGATCGCCAAACAACTACCTTGCTATCTCCGAGAAAATCTGCAACCAGAACAATCATCAACCACTACCGTGTCTAGCTACACCTGGATCTGTACACAAGGTGCAGGGAGTAATGAGAGTACGCCAACTCAGTATGTAACAACAATAAATAAAGACTGAGTAGTAGTGACGAGCAATAAAGCATATAACGTTCATATCATGGAATCTCAGTAAAATAACTCATGCTTTTAAAATCAGGATTTGAATCAAAATATCTTGTTTAAACCCAGTTCCAGTAAAAATCATTTAAGGATATTTTTCAACAGCTTTCAAACAGAGGAAAAATGCAAAGGTGAGCAAAAATGATAAAATCATAAACAGCCCCTCAGGCAAAGCATCACTCATATACATCCCCTCGGGAAAACCTCACAATCACTCTTGCCACTTGGGCATACCTCACAATCACTCTTGCCACTCGGGCATACCTCACAATCACTCATGCCTCCCAGTAACTCAGCACTCGGCACTCGCACTCAATAGGTACCTGCACTCACTGGGGGGTGTACAGACTCCGGAGGGGCTCCTTTAGCCCATGCGCTATATCAAGCCAAATCATGGCATAATCACTCAGGCCCTCGGCCTATATCAAACTTGTTGCGGCGTGTTGCCCGATCCCATAAATATGCAACATACTGCGGCGTGTAGCCCGATCCCATTAATATGTAACATACTACGGAGTGTAGTCCGATCCCATAAATATCCTCACAAATCAGGCCCATGGCCTCACTTAGTCATAAACCTCTCAAGCTACTCGGGCGTTTCAGTAAAAACAGGGTGCTCAGCACAAAACAACAGTTATATGCATCAAAATCAAATAATAAAACTGAGTTATGCAGTAAACAGGTATAACCATGACTGAGTATAGATTTTCAATCGAAAACAGTGAGAGGATAATAAGAAAAGGCCCCTAAAGGTCCAAACAGCACTGGCGCAAGGCCCAAACATGGCATTCAGCCCAATTAACAGAAACTCTTTCTAAAAACACATAAGTATCATATAATTTCCACAAAATATGCAACTTTACAGTTGTTACGGGATGGACCAAGTCACAATCACCAATAGTGCACGCCTACACGCCCGTCACCTAGCATGTGCGTCACTTCAAAATAGTAGAATGGTACGAAATTCGGGGTTTCATACCCTCAGGACTAAATTTACAATCATTACTTACCTTAAACCGGTCAAATATCTACCCCGCAAAGCTCTTGCCTCTGGACTCAGCCTCCAAATGCTCCAAATCTATTTACAATCAGTACAATACCATCAATATACACTAATGGAATGAATTCCACAAGAAAAACTACAAAATTAGACCAAAACCCAAAATTGGCTCAAACCCGTCCCCCCGACCCACGTCTCGAAATCCGACAAATTTACAAAACTAGAAAGCCCATTTACTCACCAGTCTAACCATACCAAATTCATCAAAATCCGACATCGTTTGGTCCTTCAAATCCTTAAATTACTTCTCCAAAAATTTTAAGCCCTAACCCCTCATTTTCACTAATTACAATGATTAAATAACGGAAAATCACCATATATTCAAGTATTAGGGCTCAAGTAACTTACCTCAATGAAAACCCACTTGATTCCTTCAAATCTCTCCCAAAATCTCCAAAACCGAATAGAAATGGTGAAGAATGCACCAAAATTTGCGAAGTGTGCAATATGTACCATCTGCCCAGGCTTCTCGCACCTGCGGCCTTTTACTCGCACCCGCGCGACCGCACCTGTGGTCCAAGGAGCCGCACCTGCGCAATTCACTTATCCGCCCAGACTCTGCATCTGCGGCAAACCCACCGCACCTGCGCTGCACACCTGCGCATGATGTGACGCATCTGCGAAGCCAGCCTTCCTCCTTCCTTCCGCATCTGCGCCCCAGGTCTCGCACCTGCGGGCTCGCAGATGCGATATCCTTCTTGCACCTGCACATCCTGCCTAGACCAGCATTGCCCACACCTGCGAACTCCCCATGCACACCAGCGGCCTTGCACCTGCGACTCTTCCTTCCGCAGGTGCAGAAATAGCAGTAGCAACAGCTTCAGCTGCATTTTCCAACTTCGACAAATCCATTAAGCACCCGAAATCACCTCGAGACCCTCGAGACCTCAACCAAAAATACAAACAAGTCATATATCAACATACCAACTTAGTCGAACCTTCGAATCACTCAAAATAACATCAAAGCATCAAATTGCACTCGGATTCAAGCCTAAGAACTTCTAAATTTCCAAATTCGGCAACCGATGCCGAAACCAGCCAAACCACGTCCGAATGACCTCAAATTTTGCACACACATCACAAATGACACTACGAACCTACTCCAACTTCCGTAATTCCATTCCGACCCGATATCAAATTTTCCACTGCCGACCGAAATCGCCAAATTTCTAATTTCGCCAATTCTAGCCTAATTCTACCACAGACCTCTAAATCATATTCCGGGTGCACTCCTAAGTCCAAAATTACCTAACGGAGCTAACGGAACCATCGGAATTCAAATCCGAGATCATTTACACATAGGTCAACATACGGTTGACTTTTCCTACTTAAGTTTCTACTTAAGAGACTAGGTGTCTCAATTCACTCCGAAACCACTCTGGTCCCGAACCAACTAACCCGATATAGCATTATATAGCTGAATAACACAAAAAGAAGTATAAATGGGGAAAATGGGGCTATAACTCTCGAAACGACCGGCCGAGTCATTACATTGTTGCTGCTCGGGTCGGAGTTGGTTGACTTATGAATGGTGAGGAGAAAACAAGGTTAGAGGGGTTTGGGAGGATCAAGCCTGCAGAGTTCAGTGGAGAAATGTCAGTGGATGCTTAGGATTTTCTAGATAGGTGTCAACAGATTCTTCGCACATCAAGTATTTTGGACACCAATCGGGTTTCACTTACTACCTTTCAGCTGATAGGGGCAACTTACAGATGGTGGAAAACTAATGAGTTGAGCAAGCCAGCCGATGCAGCGCCACTTACATGGCATGAGTTCTCAGTTCTCTTCTTAAAGAAGTTTGATCCCTAGACTCGAAGAGAGGAGTTGCGTGGGCAATTTGAGTAGCTACGCTAAGAGGGTATGACAGTGACTCAGTATGAGATGAGGTTCATAGTTTTGGCTCGTCATGCAATATGGTTGGTTCCCACTGAGAGGGAAAATATTAGGAGGTTCATTGATGGCCTTAACTATGGATTACACTTTAGTATATCTCAAAAGGTTGTGACGAATGCTAGATTTGACTAGGTGGTCGAGATTGCTAGACGCTTAGAGCTGGCTCGCAGGCAGGAGGATGAGGAGCGAGAGGCCAAGGGCTGCGTAGTTCAGGTGGTTTCAGTAGTGCCTTATATGGAGGCCAGTCCCATTACAGCAGAGGTCATTCTTCTTGACCTATTCAGGCAGCTCGCCATGTTCCCCGTGATTCTTCAGTTAGCCACAATTCCTATAGTGCATGCCCAACTCAGTCATCTTTGAGTGCATTGTTGGCATAGAGTTCTTGCCATGCTCCATCTGCCCAGGGTTCCATAGGCAGTTCTTTGGGCTATCAGGGTCAGCAGCCTTTCAGGAGGGGTTGTTATGAGTGCGGAGACTTGAGTCATCTCAAGAAAGATTGCCCCAGATTATTGAGTAGGGTTCCACAGTAGTGCTCTCAACCTATGATTTCAACACCAGCAGCTACACCACCCACACAGCTAGCTCGGGGTGGGGTTGAGACAGCTCGAGGCTTCCCTAGAGGGGGAGGTCGATCCGGTGGTGCTCAGGTCAGTTGCTACGCATTTCCAGCCAGGCCAAAGGTAGTTGCTTTCGATCCCGTGATCACAAGTATTGTTTCAGTGTACCGGAGAGATGCATCAGTATTATTTGACCCTGGTTCCACTTATTCATATGTGTCATCATACTTTGCTCGTTATTTGGATATTCCCCATGATTCTTTAGTTATGCATGTTCATGTATCTACACCGGTGGGTGATTCTATTATTGTGGACTGTGTGTATCGGTCGTGTGTGATGACTATTGGGGGATTAGAGATGAGAGTTGATCTTTTACTACTTAGCATGGTTGATTTTAAGGTGATTTTAGGCATGGATTGGTTGTCACCATGTCACGCTGTTGCACCCTATTTTGCACTAGTCAAAACAAGATTCAACTTGTGGTTTCTCTGTTGTTGATGAAAGAAAGTCATCACCTAATATTTAAATGTATACTAGGGTACCTATTTCATTACTAAAGTTAATTCTTTTATTGGTCTGCTAACCGGTGAGATTATGGGTAAGGGTTCTTGTTCTTCTAAAGGGATGATGTTAGGAACCCCTTAAAATCTACCTGAGTTAGCTCCATAGGACTTAGACCAGATTCAAGGATTAGTTGTTTGTATTGTGCTTAACTAGTGTTTAAAGAGGTACATCTTACTATATATTAGGACATAATATTTACAAAGTGGGTGTGTAGTTTTAAAAGGATATGAGTTTATAGAGGAGTCTTCAAGCCTAAAAAAAGAAAAACTTTTCAAGGTCAGGAATTTCAGCAAACTGCACTCATGCCCGCTGAAAGACAGATCTTACGCATAATGTCAAGCTACTGCAAAACTCATCAGCAGTCTTCTGATAGACAAGTATAAAGACCCAAAAACAATATACACTCCTAATGACATAATTGGAAAAATGAACAAGCAGTATGGTCTTCAAATGACATATATGCAAGCATGGAGATCGAAGGAATATGCAGTTCAACTACTGAGAGGGAACCCGAGCGAATCATATGAAAATCTGCTAAGCTACTTTTATATGATGGTTCTTACAAATCCTATGTCAGTGGTAAGTTTGAAAAAAACAGAGGAAGACCGATTCATGTATGCTTTTGTTGCACTATATCCCTCTATAAAAGGATGGCAGTATTGCAAACCGGTTGTTGTTGTAGATGGAAACTTTATTAAATCGACATATAGAGGAACATTATTGATAACATCCATACAAGATCCAGCAGGTAAAACTAAGAATAATAATGTATGTATGTGTGTGTGTGTGTGTCTATATATATATACACACACACACACACACTCAAATGCATATGTGATTCAAATGTATACATGTATATACTCAAATGTGTTTATATGATTCAATTTATTAGGTAGTATCCTACCACTCGCATATGCCATTATATATTCAGAGAATAATGCTTCCTGGGAGTGGTTTTTCGCGAGGTTCAAGGATGCATTTGGGGAAAGGGAGGGAATATGCATAGTCTCGGACAGGCATGGAGGCATTGAAAATGCAGCGGCAACATTGTATCCACAAGTACCTCATTGTGTCTGCATATGGCATCTATGGAATAATGTAAACGAAAATTACAAGAAGAACCATTTGCAGCTCAATGACATATTCTTTGCTATGGCCAAAGCATACACAGTTGAGAAGTTTGATTACCACATGGCAGAGGTAGAGAGAATTGATAAGAGGATCAAAGATTACTTAATCAACGTTGGGTATGAAAGATGGTCCAGAGCACATTCCGCAATCAACAAAACATTGACAATGACTTCAAACATTGCAAAGTCGATTAATGCAGTGCTCAAGGCTGTGAGGGAACTCCCAGTACTGCCTATGCTAGAGTACATAAGGAAATTGATCGGACGATGGAACGTTACAAACTAAAAGAATGCAATAGAGTCATTTACTGATCTTGGGAAAAAAATATGATACAATACTGATGGACAATCTCAAATTGTCACATCGGATAAAGGTATGACTAGAATTTGTAGATACTTGTGCATATAATATGTAATCATGCTGAATTCGTGGATCTGTTATATCTTGAACCCTTTATATGATTCTGTTAAACTAATATCCACCTGCACGGCACAGGGAGACCAAATTGATTAAAGCTAACATTTTCTAATATTCATTGTTTGCACAAAGGCAATATTATAGTGTTCAAGTAATTGAGGGTCTTATCTCTGTTACCCGAGGCTTCAGGTTTCTGTTTCTTTTCAAAGCTGGTTGGTCTACCTCTATTCTCAGTTTCTTCTGGGGCATGCAAGAAATTAGTCATTATGTAAGCAAATTGTTCAACTTTTAGGCGACCACCAATATGTATATAAGGCTTTCAATTTAATGTAGCATTTATGCCTACCCCACTGCTGAAATATTAGTTAGTTTGATATGATATTAAGCTATTTTGAATCTCGTCAGCTCTACAGTATATGTGTTTTGAGGGCATATGCTTTGTAACCACTAATGATAGTTGATAAATTTTGTAGGTGACCCCTTCGATGAGTTACTTATATTCAGTACTTGACAAGGGTAAGAAGAGAATGGTATTCCTAAAATATCGAACTTGCAGCTGTAGAAGATTTCAGTTGGATGAACATGTGCACATGCTTGGGCAGTATTAAAATAAAAATACATTTATTACATTGAGTATTGCTCGGTGTACTACACCAAAAATTACCTATTGAAGACTATGAAATTCCAATTTATCTGGTTCCTGAAGAAAGTACATGAAAAATTCCTGCAGAAGTTCTAGATGAAAAAGTCTTGCCACCAGACGTGACTAAATCAATATGAAGGCCAAGGAAGAGGAGGTGCAAGCCAATATCTGAAAGGAAACAAAAAAGGTCAATTTCATGTGGACAGTGTGGAGAACAAGGTCACAACAGGAAAACTTGTAGAAATAATCCAAAGAGATGATGAAATATGTCAAACATAGAATTACTTGTTATTTTACTTTACTGAATATCATAGAGATTTAGAAGAATCCAATATATCAAGAACTATATCAATACAGAATTTTATTTGATTTTTAGATATAAATAAATATTTGATCTATCATTTAAAATCGTGTTGCAAGTGTATTTTTAAAATTATACATCTGTTTGATTAAAAAAGAAATTGTATCAGCTATGTATCATACTCTTGTGTATCACCTATGTAGGTGTATCAGCTCTTACTCATGTCTATATTTGTATAATAACAAAGCTAACTAATGAAAAACAGTTATAGCAACTAGAAAACTGTGCAAATAATTTTAGAAATTTGCAAATAAGAGTGTGGCTTCATCAATACATATTTCGAAACCAAACAAACTGCAGAACTCGTTGTTAAGAAACTAACTGTGCAGCAATCCAAAATGACTGTATCATCTATGTATCATGTGTGTATCATATTTGTATCATGCGTGGATCTGGAAGAGATATTGTATCACAAACTACCGTATATTTTTCATATCTTGAATTAACAACACAAAATCAAGGGAGAAAATACCAAAATAAACTAAACTGCAACACTCCAATATTGCACTAAAATTCATTAAACCTTTATAAGAGAGCAGACATCTCATTTTCCATACAAATCTTAAAAGTATTCATAAAATTCAAAAACAAAAAAATCTGATCCGTCTTACAACAATGACAGCATAACAGAACACAATACAAAACGAAATTATTGAGTTCATCCTACAACAATGACAAAGGTAACTACTTCTTCTACTTTCGCAACTTATTCTGTCGACCAATAATCTCATCATCACTTTGCTCGTTCAGTTCCATCTTCTTTCTAGCATAATCCCATAAGAGAGCACCAAATCTGCGCCGGTGTACATAGGCATTGAATGTTTTAGGAGGCGTCTTGACCTCGGTAAAATACTCGGTAAATGATGCCGCAAATACACCGCAATCACTACAAAAATAAAAATAACAACAATTATCAAACTGTAGAATCTAAAAACAAAACAAATTATGTTGAAAGAAATTCATACGCTTCGACTTGTTGAGGCAGTCCTTCAACCAGTTTTACATCAAAAGGGGTAATCAAGTCCTTTGATTTGTAGACACCAGTGCGCCAATTGATATCTTTTTTGTATAAACAGAAATGCGTGTGCACGAAAAAATGAGGCAGCAACACAGAATACTTGCGCATTGTGTTATGAACTTTGGCTTGATGAGCAGCTCCACCGAGCATAGAGTCATACACATAAATGCACCTATCCTTGAAGGACATCACAACCATTATCCAATTCCATTCTTCCGCAACATTAATTGGCATTAAGACGTGCTCAACAATGTGCCGTGGAACATTGGCATCCAAGACATACCCCTAAATATACTCTGCAATGACATGTTTCGGATTGGACACTTCACTATCTCCATCTGTATCAATAAACGCCAGTCACAACTCATTAATTTTCTTGTCAAAGTACCAATCTGTGGTGGTGAATGTTACAGGTAGGTCTTTGTCATACTTCCCCTTCTTTCTCAAATAATAGATAAAAACATCAATGTGCTGAAACAAAACATAAATTGTAGGCTTGTAAGCTTTAAGCAGCTACACCTTTTCAAACTAAATTCAAAGAAAACAAAGGATAATGAATGCTCACTACTTCTCTTATGCCAGGCAAGATAGCAATTAATAATCTATTCTAACTTAAGAGTCCCGATAATGTGTACACTGGCTAAAATTTTAAAAAAACTGTAAAAGTAACTTCTTACATACCGAGTCATCCAAAGGCTGACCATTATATGCCAAAGTATAAAACCACTTTTTGTCTTCAACATGATATGCCCCAAGATCAGAAGCAGGATTGAGTTCACTAACATGGTTCGGGTAAATTTCATTCCCGGTAACATATATACACAAAAGAGATACAGGGATTTGATATAAAATAATGCTACAAATGACAATATATTAAAATATAAAACTGAACAAAACTCAGAAGTTGGAAAGATACTTCTTGCTGGACTTCCCTTCTTTGACCCACGCAACAAATACATTCAACAAAGAGTTGTTAACGCCAGTTCCGATTTTGCTTTGAAAAGGATGCTTAATAGCATAAATTTGCTTTTTTTCTTTTGCTGCAACAACATTAGTACTGGATCCTGAATCAAATACAGTAATGAACGGAGACTGCACGACCTTTACAGGATATCTCTTTCTTTTTTCCATTTGCGGCAAAACTTTAGGAAGTAATTCAGGATAGTACAGAACAATATAAGATTTAGGAACCTCTTTCTCAGGTTGTTCCTTCATCTCCCATGCCGCCTCAAGTCTCAGATTCGGGAACCTTTACTTTCTCAGATTCTGCCTCCATCTCCACTGCCGCCTCATCTGCAGTCTCACCAATAGCGCCAGCGTGCGCTACATCCGGAGTGAAAGTTACTTCAGCAGCGAACATGTTAACTTTCACACCATAAGGTTCTTCCATGATATTAACACCTAACTGATCTGCTCCATTGAGCACAATGTTCTTACGATGATGCGCACTTGTATCTCCTTGAGAATGTGGAACATCTATGCCTTCACTTCCACCGACCTATTTTGTTTTAAAAAGAATCGAATTATCAAAAACAACAAAGAAAAGAAAAAGGAAAAGTGCTGAATGCACAACTAAACATACCTTACAACCATCCATATCAACATCTTCATTCCCACCAAACTCCGTATTGCTCACAAAATCATTATTGTCTTAATGAGCACTGATGTATTCCTCTGGATGTGCACCATATTTGTCTTTGCTTGCACCAAACTATTTTTAAAAAATAATACAGTAATTAACTAAAAAAATAAAAGTAAATGCACAATGGAAAAGAAACACATACCTTGAAATTTATCAACTCAAAGACTTCCTTGAATTTTTGCAACTCAAAGACTACCTTGAAACATATTTCATGAAGGACTTTAACTGCTTATGGAGCTACAAAAGGAAACAAATAAGAAAAATAATCGACATTGAATATACATTTTTAACAAAACTTTCAAAAAATATATATATATATAAAACCAATACAAACATGTTTAACATCAGCTTTAAATTTCTGCAACTCACGATCATAATCAATAGGTTAGACACCCGGCGCCTTTTTTGGTGGGACAGGCTCCTTAATCTGTTTAGGGGGTGGAATGACATTTCATCACTATCATCAATAGGAAGTTTTCCCCTGTTACGTGATGTCAAATATTTTTGATACTCATCGTTAACTTCAACAGGCAAAGTAAATCTCCTTAGCTCTTCTGTTATAGGAGAAATATTTTTAAACTGCAAATGTAATAAAAAGTGCTTCAGTCTTAGATGTATCAAAGATGTATACAAACTGTATATTTTATGTATCACAATGAATTACAGTGTATCATATATGTATAACCCATCAATACATAAAAGTTGGTACCTTATTCCCCGTGCTGTTGAAGAAACCAGTAGAGAAGTCCTCACGCGTTGGCCTGTATGTCATTTCCCAATTCAATATGCGTGGTGTATGATCTCCAAAGCAAACAACAAACTTTTGATCAACTACAGTGCAACATTCATAGAACCACACCTGTAGTGCAAGAGAAAATCCATCGATCCTATAAAACTTAGACTTTCCCCTCAACATGTCCCTCACCAACTTCATTTAAGCTCGAAACACAATCTTACCCTAGGGAAAGGACACATACTCACCACTCTCGACAAGATGGAAATCACGTTTACTTATAAAATATTTTATGAGCCTGAATGGACATTAGAAATGTGTTTATGAAATAAATGATTGCAATCTTAACTGCGTCTTCATCAGACTGCCATTTCTTCTTCTCAAAACAATCAATAAGCGACTTCTTTGACACCGCTTCAAAACCAGAAAAATAAGTATCCACCAACCTATTGGGTCCACTGAAGTTACCCT